GTCCATAAAAATTATTTATATTAATGATGTCTCCAAAGGTCAAGTTATTTTTCCGCCAAAAATTCGTTATCAGAAATTGCGGCCGTCGTTTCGCGTGCTGTTCCGCGATGAAAACCAGCTTTAAGCAACGGCGTAGTCGAACGGTGTAAGTAATCCTACAATTTTTTGTTTATAGCATAGTTTATACAGATTATTCCCAAAAAATTATACGTGTTTTGGAAATGTTGAGTGGAATTAGTCTAGAATCGGTTAATTTTATATAAGAAAACCTTTCGAACAGCCTTAGTCCGTAAAGTTCCCACCTATCGGGCTGCGATTGGCTCATGTATTTAATCATTCATATAATGTAACATTCGCTTAGCGTGGAACGTATCTAAGCGTTATAGGGGGGTCTACTGTAGTTGGTTGTGTTGTAGTTGAAGCCACAGATTCTCCTAATAATTTTTAATTAATTAAAATATATAAATAGATATCTCTTCCATAAAGTTCGGGTGAGATGCATGCCTAGTGGATTTAAGAAAGAGATGCATATTTTTTCTAAAATACTTTATTATAAACTAAATATTGATAAAATTTAATAATTTTAGATGTGTCTACTGAATACAAAAGAAAAACTGGTGAAAATAAATGAAAACGGGCAGAAGAGAACTTAGTTCTTCCAGCTGAAACAGTACATACTAACCGTCTAAATTTCTATAAATAAAGCAAAGAATTTAACGTTCCACATCGCACTCTTCGCAAAAGACGTAAAGATAGTAATTTAGCAAAGCGAAATCTTGGATCAAATTTAATCTTAGGTACCCAAAATGAAGAAAAAAACGACTTGTTTATCATATAATTAAGTCGTAACATCGAGACAAGAAAAGCAAATTGGATTAGATGCGCGATGTTAAAAAAAATGGAAAGAAGAAGCATAAACAATGCATATTACAGAGTATAATAAGTTTGGAAAATACAAAAAGTGCAAAATGATTAAATTAAGTGTTAAATAAAATAGGCATCTTACCCTTAAGCATTAAGCAACTCTCCCGGAGGTACGGAACGGATGTCCAAAACGGACAAGTATTATTTTGTTCCTATCATTCGGATACATCGAGATTTTATTTAACTTCGTTCACTTTTATTAAAAGATAACCTTTGGCTGTATATGCGTTATATATTTATTTCTTCTGGAATCCATAGTTAAACGAGTTATATGCGTTGATAAAAACT